AATTTCCTTATGTAATACATTTCGTATTTTATTCTGCAGGTGTTTAAATTTTTTTCCCTATTTTTTGCTTGATTGTTTTATTTCGCACTTTTTGTTTATTTTGCACTTTTTTGAGGATATAATCGTGTGAGGTAATGATGATATTATAGATTTTCCTAATTTAGTTGTTCGACTTTTAATTTTTTTAATATATATTATAATTTTTAATTTTTTGAATATTTAAAAAAAAATAATAATTTTTTTCCTCCTCTCCCTTAAAAAATCTTTATATTACTTTCCATGCTATCTCTATATTTTTTCCTCGATTGTTTTATTTTGCATATATATATATATACATACATTAATATATATTCTAAAGCAAATAGACTTAATATGTGTCCTTAAAACTAAAATGTAATATTTATTCAGCAATCACAAAAGTTAATCTTATTTTTAAGGCAGAAAAAAAATCAAAAACAATGTTTTCAAATTATGTAAGCATTTATCTCACAAAAAAATGTTTCCGTTCAGAAATATTGTGCGACTGAAAAAATGTCTTTAGAGAATGCTTCAATTTAAGCTCTTGGATCATCAAAAGCAGAATAAATTTCCTTTTAAGAACTGCGCGTCCCAATTTACATGCTAATCAGCAATTTCTCTTACTTTTACCGGCGAAAAAAAAAAGATAGTCAGAATCTATTCTGTGTCTATTTTACTCTCATACAAAAAATAATAATAATAAAAAAACACATTCTATAACATTAATCTATACAAAAAATAGTGAAAAGAAGAAAAAAAAGATTAGGTGATGGTTTAAATGATAAATAAGAATTTCGAAAAAGAAGATAAAAGCGTAGTAGTGATGGAGACTTTTGTCTGTGAAAACCATTTAAAAAAAATAGATCATCAAGGCAGAATGTATTTTAGCTTTCTCTTATATCACTAAGACTCAAAATGTATTTCAACATAAAAATGAAATTTATTTATTTTTTTTCCAATAAAAAGATAAATTAAAAGAATTTTTTTGTGAATAGATCCACAAAGGTCGTAGAAATTGTAAAACACTTTGTGTAGAAACACTTAGAAATCTTTAAATCTCAAAATGTATTTTAGCAAAAAAGTGAAAATACATGTTTTTTTCCAATAAAAAGGTAAATTAAAAGAATCATTAACTTTTTTTTAATTGACCAACGAAAGTCGAAGAAATTCTGAAATATTTTAATGTGAACCTCTTTATTAAGAAACGATTTTTATAATTTTTTCCAACATATGATATTTACAAGATAGTTATTGTTCAAATATGATCACTTCCTCATTAAGTTAACTTCAGAATAATAATTTTACTGTTCATTTTCTTTAATTTAAATTATCACAATACAAGTTTCAAAACTATATTTCTTCATATAAAAGAATAGCTGTCTATGAGCAGAAGTCAATTAGGCAAAACATAATGTAAAAAATAAATACATATAGTGGAAGGCTAAAAGCTGCTTTGGTGCTATTAATCAATGTTATCATCGCCCTCACAATAAATCGAGAGAAATATACAAACTGGTAAAAAAATTAAATGAAGCATAAAAAAATTTAAATTTTTCATTAAAATATGGAGTTATTCTCCCAAATCAAAGTCAACAGCGAAAATCAGTGTTGACCATTATTTTTACAGTTTCGATGCTACTGACTAATCTTATGATAAATAGCCTGACAAAAATTTATAAAAATACAAAAATATTTAAAAATAAATCATGATGAAAAAAAAGTTATAGCTAGGAAAAAATTAACCATTGAGCGTAGGTCTGACAGACCTAAGTTTAAAAGGCTTCTTGGCAGTCTGTCTGTCAATGTCATTAGGATGGAAAAAGAATCAATTAAAACCACCAGACTAAAAAGAATGTATGGCATTTCTTTATGAGTAGGTGTGTTTGGTAAAAAAAACAAAATTGCAACAAACTGGCAAGGGAATAAAACAGAGTTAAGAGAAAATTTCTAATACCAAAATAGAAAATGTTACAAGAATACGTAACTAATTCATTCAGGTCTATTAAAACAGTGCTCCCCAGTCTTTTTATCGCCACGGAATGCTTAAAAGTTTGATAACTTTACCGCGGCCTAGATTGTTTTGTTATGTTCTAGATTGAGATATTCTTAGATTGTTATATTCTAGATTGTTTTGAATTAATAATTTTAATTTAATGGTATTTAACAATGCCTCCAAAATGAGATACAATTAATTATTGGTGGGGCTTCAGGTGACATCTCTCACCTCAGGGTTAACCTCTCGACCATGGAAAGTCGTACAAACCCGAGACAAATACATCACAGTAAATAAAAAGGAAATAAATGTTTTAATTTGAACCCCGGACCGGTAGCCCGGGGGTTGGTGTCCACTATATTAGAATATGCTATTCTCCAAAATCAAGATCAGCAGTATCTAAGCAGTGTTGAGAGATATTATCCGAAAAAATTCAAACAATGTAAGAAGTTTGGTATCAGAAAATACCAAAAAGTTTCTCAAAAAAACAAAAATCAAAATCCTCTATTTCCCAGAATTTTAAAAATATTTTCTTTAAACACCATCTTATTCCACTCTCAGTTTAAAGCTGTTTTGTTTCTTGTTTGCTTTTATTTCATTTATTGTCATTTTCATATAAATATACAGATTCGCCTATAAGTTTTATATAGTTCACCCCTACGCCGCGCCTCTATCCAGTTTGTTGCAATAACTTTCTATGTGATTAATTCTGTAATATCTAAGTATTTCTCTTCATTGTATGTTTTTGGCGTTGATTATAGTATTTGTTAACAGCATTGATATTTTTTTTTCTACTGGTTATGTTGACAGTGATACTATCAATGAATCTGCTATATATATCTTGGACGCGTTATAAAACTAATATATACGTAAAAAGCCTGTTATGACGCATAATAATTATAAAGTAAAATACATCCGCAAAAGCAATTTGTCAGTGGTTGGAGAATAAGATTCCACAATTTCGAGAATAACGATATTATGGTGGTGATTCGGCCAGCATTGTGCACCATCAGCCTTTATTTCCAAGATACCCATAGATGTAAATGTGTGTGGGCTTCAAGGTGTTACCGATGACAGAACCCTTGTCATTCAGAATGACAACTTAGTGCCTTAACCGTTATGCTATAGCAACTCATAAAACGTATAAAATTTTTGAAATAAATAATCGAGAACTGAAACTTCAATATTTAAAACTCTAATTGTATTTCGAACAACGAAAACAAACGAGAAAAAAAATCTAAAAACGTGCGAAATAGTGCATGTTATACAATTTTGTAGTCACATATCTAAAACCATGTTAAAAAAAAACACTATACATCATTTACTTTAAAATACCGAATTTATTTAAATGCCTATATTTTTTCCCGTTATCATAGTGAAAATTAAACCTTTAAAAAGAAAGGAAACAAATTAAGTAAAAAAATCTGATTCGAATTATTATATGGTCGAAATAATATATATACATATATATATATGTATATATTAATGAAATGTATCACTTACCTTTTAGATAAGGTGTTATGTAGATAAACTGCCAGTTGCATACAAACCAAAAATTACCTTTATTTCCTAATAAATAAAGCCGACTATCTTGCACCAAAATTGACACTTTATTAATTCCTACGTAAACCTAAGTTTTATAAAATACTTTCACAATCCCGATATCTTATTTTAAACCTCCATTAACACATCATTATACTAGAAAAGCTTCTTGAAAGATTTTAAAATTAATAAATTAATGCATAGTTTAAAATTTTGTTACGAAATGTATTTTCTTTACTAATAATGGAAAAGATCATGTTCTAGCAGAGAGTGAGACAGCTTACATAACAGTGAAAAAAAAATTATAGCTGCGTAATCATAATATAGAGTTCATTATATTTAACAAAGTATTTAATAACCTCGCTGCATTTGGATAAAAATAATTTTAAAACCATGGCATGAATTTTGCGAAAAATTTTGGATTCGTTAATGCATTTTAGAAAATTTAGGATTCGTTAATGCATTTTAGAACTACAAGAATAAGCTACTTCTTTCGGGTTTTCAACATAATCCAATTAATGGCTCTTTTGAAATAAGTAGAACTCAGACAATAGCAGAAGGAAGGATATTTTAAAGAATATATCGATAATTTTTTGAGTAACATGTAGCTTTTTGTTTAATGAAAAAGCATATCAAAGTTATAAATTATTGAGATCAAAATATTTTCATATAAATAAAAAGTAGCTTTAATCGTATTAACAACAGAGTGTGGAATATAAAAGATTAAATTTAAAAGTTTGAAGCAAATCTTATAAGAAATAGAGTTCACAATTATGTTTTTTTGTGAGTGATTTACGCGTAACTGACGTTGAGCAAGATACTGTAAAAATCTAAAAACGTTGTTTAAAAATAAGTAATGTAGATTTTAAAACTTTATAAACTATGAAAGCATTTCTGCAAAACTTTGGAAAGAAATGAGATTTTCATGAACTGGTAAAAACTTTTATCTAATAATTTTAACAAAATAATATTCCTGAAGTTTATGAAAAGTTTCTTATTAAATCCAAATTCTGCGGGTAAGAACATAGTTTTATGTGGGTAACTCAGGGTTCGCAATAATTGAATTTGACAGCATATTATTAGCTTTCTAATAATTAATCCCTCAACTTGGAAATATTTGTGGTACTTGCTATAAATGTATGGTGCGAATATTTTAGTGAAAAATAAATGCATTATTTATATAACATTCAAATAATTTTTAAGATATTGCTAAAAAGGCTTTCGTTAAAATTATTTTTTTCCAGACTGACTATAGAAATTAGAAATTCATTAAGAAGTTATCTGTATACAATATTATCTCTCTGATTTTGTGACCAAGAAAATATTAATAATTATTAGTTGCAAAAATTAGCTCAATTTCAAATACAGCGTAAAGAAACACCACGTTAATCATGAGCCAAATTTGAAGTACATAAATGAAAGAGTATAACTGAAATATCTGACTTACCCTGATCATCAATCGAAAATATGCCTACACCATCTCCATCGCGAATTGAATAGGTTATGGTGGAATCAATACCAGGAGGATCTGAATCTGTTGCAGTAACTTGAGTGACAAAAGTACCCTCGGGTTTATTTTCAAGAACAGATCCAGATGCTACAAAGTCCGGAAATTTCGGAGATTGAAAGTTCTCATTAACGTCTTCAACTTCAACCAACAGGTAAGCAACGGAAGATAGGGGTGGATCACCTTGATCTCTGGCAATTATGGTTACATTGTAAAGTTGCTTTTGTTCGAAATCTAACGAACGGGCTAGTCTTACAACACCAGTTTGTGGATCGACAGAAAATGTTCCTCCACCAAGCATTTCATAAACCACACGTCCACCGTCACCCAAATCTGGATCTCTAGCTGACATTATCATGACAACAGTTCCTAAAGGTAAATCCTCACGAACTTTAACCCAAAACTGTGATAATCCAAACATAGGGGGATTATCGTTCACATCCTCTAATCGAATATAGACAACAGTTGAAGACATTAGTGCCTTTTCCAAAGACGAATCTTTAGCCCAAACACGCAGAGCATAGTTTTCTGTACTTTCTCTGTCCAATGCTCCAATAACGGTCAAAAGACCAGAGTCTTTATCAACATGAAAACGATCCCAAGCTGGACCCTCTAAGCTATACGTCAGTCGAGCATTTTCACCTTCATCATTATCAGTTGCTCGAAGTCGTATGACACTAGTTCCATTTTCAACATTTTCTGGAATCACAAAATGATAAGATGATTTTTCAAATGCTGGTGCATTATCATTAACATCGCGAATATTAACAACAATCTGAGTTGATGCGGTTTTTTGTGGTTTTCCAAGATCGAAAGCTGTGATATTTAAGATATATTTAGAAGTTCTTTCACGATCGAGTTTGGCATCAACAATAAGTCTTCCAGTGTATAAATCAATTTTGAAAGAGTCATCTCCCTCGTTGTTATAATTAATTACGTAAACAAGCAATCCAGCGTAACTGTGGTCTCTATCTCTAGCTCGAACTGCAACAACCTGAAACAACATTAGGTCATAAAGTTAAAGAATCTGCACTTAATTTGTATAAATGCATCAATTACAACGAAAGATACGATTTTGCATTAACGTGTGTTTGAACTAAGTTTTTGCAAACTTTACTTGAATTAACTCAACAATAAATAATAAATAAATAAACTTTTAACCAAGAAAAGTCCTTCAATCTTCATTTGACACATATTTTACCATTTATATATCACCGTCTGGAAAATCAAGCTCTTTGCAATTAAGCCAAGCTAATTAGAAAAGTCTTCAGTGTTTTCCAGTCAGTCTAGAATTTTTAATGTTCGTAACTCCTATGTGTTCAGAAAATCCACGAAAATATACTCAATCACCCTGAATTAGGCTTATTGCAATGAGCCATGTAGACTCATTATAAGCGAGTGGACATAAATCATGCTTATTTGAGCATCTAGTCAGTCTGGAATTTTTTAGGTTCGTTAAAATCAGCTCCTATGTGTTCGTATATGGAAAATGTACTCGATCACGTTGAATTAGGCTTAAGCGAGTTGACATAAACCATGCTATTTGAGCAAAGTAAGATATATTTTCTAATTAGAATAAAATTAAGTGAGCTCATTGTAATAAACCTAAAAACTGTCAGATGTTTAGAAAATATTGGATACATATCCAATTGGCCTATAGTGACGAAACGAGTGGATAAGTGATGTTGACGGTTTGAAAAGTGCAGGATTTTTCAATTAGTCATCAGTGCTTACAAAGCTAATTTCAGTTAGAAACAACCATCACTTTGAGGGTATTCTATTGTTTATTATATCGCTTGATACGTTTCACGTGCAAAAGAAACTTTAACAATGCTATTTTAACTGTTGAGTTTTGTATCAAATCCAATAAAAATTGGAAAATTTATCATGTCTGCTGTTTTTAGATATCCTAAAAAGAATTTCTTACATTATCGACATATTTTTCACAAATTTAATTATTTTAACTATTTTAAATTTAGCTCAACAGATGAAGAAAAATGTAAAAAGTAAATATACTTATTTAATTTCTAACGTAAATTTGAAATTCTCTGAGAAAACGACACCGTCTCTAGACATACGCTGTGTTGTTTAAATTCAGCTTGAAATACTTTAAAAAAATAAATGTACGTATTTTCTAAGCATTTGACCGAAAAAAAATCTATAACAAAAAGATAAAAAATAAAGTGAATTATACAAACATTCATATTTAATTTTTTAAAAAATAGATTTTTATAACCAATATAGTAAATCTAATTAAATGAATAAATAAATAAAAATATATCGTTAGATTAAATAAATTTTCCTCTAATTTATTTATTGTTTATTTTACTTTATACATGCTGTTTTAATTGGAGAAATAACACTGTATAGAACATTGATGAACACCATATTCATCAACATCAATAATGCACAATGGCTATTGTTGATTTAACTGTTATAGCGGCACCTGTTTCGAATTATGTATGACTTCGTGACACTTGGCACTACTGCGTTTGAATGTAGTACGTTTGCATAGGAAATCACAATATAGTGGAAACTAGTATAAATCAACTACAACTTGTACTCCTTATAAAATTAAGGAAATAATTTCTCTGGTACTGATTAGACTGATAGATATTAAAAAAATTAGCAAAAATACAGATTTTTTGATTTTCCAATAATAATAATAATGGCTGTTAGTCAAGTAATTACTCGAATAATTCAAGAATAATTTATTTTGAAAAAAAAAACAAAAAAACTGTGATTTTTTTAATGGACAAAAACAACTGAAATGTAATTGTTTGGCAAAAATAATAATTTTAACTAGCTTTAAGCCATAAAAGTGACCATTTAATGCTTCTAGTATTTTTAAGCAAACAATAAATGGATATAATGTAAAAAAATATTTTTTTAAAATAAAGAGAAACTTTTAGAATGCGATAAAATGTAGAAAACATATGGCGGGATTTTTCTGCAATATAATGATCCAATTTATTATTTGATTAATCATTATTTTTCTTAACCTTATTTAAATGGACTAATTTTTGTAATCATCATTTTGATGCTTATGATTTCTTAGTATTTAGTAATAACGCCTATTCACTAATAATAATTGAGGAGTATTAATATCAATCCAAGACAAAACACCACAAAGTACTCATTATCTTAATGTTTCAATTTATAAGATAGTACTAATCTGCATAATTATTGATTTTATATGCGAGAAATACATTCAAAATAGTCATTTAGAGAAAAAATAGCTTAATCCAAATTGACATAAATTAAAATCGTTAATGAACGTAATGGTGTGAGATTACCTCCGTTCCAATACTTGCTGATTCATTAATCCATACTTCTTTAGGGATAGTAGATAAAAATTCTGGTGAATGCCTGTTTTCTCCATAACGTCCTGGAACAGCGGCATCTTTGTGTCCAACATTTTTGTTTTGGCTATTTCCCAAACTTAATAACTCCATATATCTGTCGGTCACATCTAGTTTTCGGCAATCAATTGTAACTCCGCCTTTGTTGCGAGAAGTTGTATGCGACACAACTTTCAAGTTAATTGTCATAACGTCAGCAAAATGCTGACTGTCGGTGGCGGAAACATTCAGCAACCAGTCTTTCTTTGACTGCTTTGATAAGTCACAAGTGACTTTAAGTATGCCTAAAAAATAACAATATGTATTATTACATAAATATATTAAAGAATCTGTTTCATATTTTAGTTATTTTTATTCTTTGATGCTAAAAATGTAAAAATATATTTGTGTGTATGATCAATTTCTGCATGAAGTCCAGCTCTAACTGTTTTAATAATTGCCTGAAGATGAAATATAAAAGAGTCATTTTCAGAGAATATATTGGCTTAAAAAATAAAAGTTTTATTGTTTAGTTTTTTTTATATGTTAATACAAGTATTTAGGTCTATTATCATGAAGAAAAAATTGAGTGCATTTTGTATACCCTGAATATATCTGTAATCAACTGACTACAATGCGTTGAATGATATCATTACATAAATATACTAAGGAATCTGTTTAAAATTTTGGTTATTTTTGTTCTTTGATGCTAAAAATGTAAAAATATATTTGTGTGTATGATCAATTTCTGCATGAAGTCCAGCTCTAACTGCTTTAATAATTGCCTGAAGATGAAATAAAAGCATCACTTTCAGAGAATAATATTGGCTTAAAAAATATAAGTTTTACTGTTTTAGTTTTTTTATTGTATATGTCAATGCAAATATTTAGGTCTATTATCATGAAGAAAAAATTTATTACATTTTATATACCCTAAATATATCTGTAATCGACTGACTACAATGCGTTAAATGATATCATTGATACGAAGACAATATCAAACTAAGGCTTTCTATGTTTTAGAAACACAAATATTGGTAATTAATATTATCTTAAAAGCTAATCGTTTGTTTTAGTTTCTACTTACTCAACAAATAAGTCTGTGAATTTTTGTAAACGCAGTGACAGTTTTAGTATGGGCCATGCCGTACCCCAATACTTTAGAAAGCGTAGGATCTCAAATTTTACCACGTCAAAAAGCTTTATATTTGCTAACTTATTTCTAACTCGAATCACATTAAAAGCTTATAGATACTAATAAACACTGATAAAGCTCTGAATGATATTGCAAAGCAGGAGAAGCATAATATTCAATAGTTTCACGTCCACTGTTGCTTTCCGGCAACAACTCTAATGAAAAAGTATTCTATACACATTTTATAGTCTGGAATAGCACCTAGTGACTACCACCTGGTACCTAAACTTTTAAAATTAATAAATAAAAATTTATGTTTGACACTTTTTGCTGATGTAAACACTACGCTTAGTACGTTATGATTAAATAGGCTTAAAAATAAGCAACATTCTATACCTCAATCATACCTTGCATTCAGATTTTAGTATATAGTATACCAGATAGCTGAAATGCATTATTTTGTATGTGAATGTTATTGAATCACCCCATACACATTCTATATTCTATTCCAAATAGCTGAAGTACATTATTTTTTATATGAATGTTCTTCGATCATCCCATACACATTCTATATTCTATTCCTGATAGATGAAAAGCATTATTTTTATTATTAATGTTCATTTATCATTTCATATACATTATACACTTTATTCCAGATAAATAAAGTGCACTATTTTTTCTATGAATGTTTTTCAATCATCCCATTCTCAATATATATTCTATTCCAGATGGTTGAAGTGCATTATAATTTTTTTATGACTTTTCTTGAAGGAAATTAGTACCAAAGGTTAAAATTAAGCACCAATGAACAAACAAATAATTTAAAAAATTATACTTTCAGAAGAAGTATTGTTATTTTAATTGAAACTTAGTTTTATGGTTGGCGCAAAAATTTGAAAAGCCAATCATAAGATATCTAACCATTATAAAAAGAAATATTTCCATTTGCTGCAATTTTTAAAGATTAGAAGTTTTCAAAAGGAACTTTTTTTTTTAAAAAAAAAGAGGAAAAAAACTATGATTTCAAATTTTTGGAAATAAATAAGGTTCTTTTATTCTTCAGAACAGACGAAGATAGGAACTTGCTTTAGAAACTGTGTTTCATTAATTTAAACTGAAACTATAAATGAATGACTGAAAAATGAAATGAACGAATGAAACCAAATAATGAATTATTCATGAGCAGAAAACATGCTCTCGAAATAGGATGACATATTTTTATTCTCAAAATTTTTTGAGAAATAATGAAAGTCAACGGAAGGCATTAAAGTACATGAGAAGTAAAATAGATTAGAAGGCTATATATATCAGATTTTAAAAGACGGAATAAAAATTCTTTAGAAAATGAAAGTATGATACGATAGGATAACTTGGTCGTTTTAAAAGCAAAATGCGAAAAGGTAATTTTTCCCCTAAATCCCTACTCTATTTACAAGAATATAAAAGAAGGCCAGAAAAAGTAATTCATTCATTTTCTTCAAAATAAAATCTCAACCCTTCCCTATCACAGAACTAAACTTCATGAACAAAAATAATATTTGCATAATCTCTTTTGAAATATCATCAAGAGTAAAAAATAACAGTTACCCTTCATAATGTTTGTCTTCTGAATAGTAAAATTGAAGCCTCTGGGGTAGTCAGTAATCTTTAAAATTGCCTTTAAAATATAATAAAAATATCTTGCTATCTTTTAAGAAACGTGAGATAAATGTGGCTAAAAAGATTAAGTTATTATTCAATGCGAATTAAAACAGAAAAAAATTTGTTGCGCAGCATAATGCAATAGTTGTTAAATTTTTTTTAGCAGAATAATTGTTTTGTTTGATCTTTTGTTAGAAACTTTTGAGCGTAATAAATGTCTTGTTTAGTCTGTTTGAAGTTTCTTAAATATGGTAAATGTTTTGTTTAGACAAAGATGTATTGTTTTGATTAATTTTTTTATTATATAGTTAACAAGTAAGCAATTAAAATGAAAAATAAAAAATATAAGCACATATTTTTTATTTTTCAACAGAAATGCATAGGTTTATAAATATTTAAGTACATATATTCTTATTTCATTTTTATCCAATATAAGTGAAAAATATTCAACGGAATATATGCTTAAAATTCATTGAATATAAAGTTAAAATACGCATACAAATACGAACAAAAATGTATTTCAAGCATTACTAAGTTTTGATTTTAGCCCTAATTGGATCATATAGCTATAAAGATGCATACTTGAATAATTCTATTAATTGGATGTTTCCATTATTTTTTTATTATATAGTTAACCATGCGCAATTAAAATAAAAAAATATTAAAAATATAAGTCAATATTTATATTTTTGAATAGAAATGCCCCATACGTTTATAAATAATAAGTGCATATATAAATATTATAAATATTAAGTGCATGTATTCTAATTTAAAGCAGTGAACTTGCTTTATATTTAACTTTAATGGGTCTATTTTGGTTCAATTTTCTAAAACAGTTAGCTTCTGTACTTTATAATCAAAAATTATTTCTGAATTTAAAAACTTCTTAAAAAACTCTAGTTTGTAAAGAAATTGGAGACATGTGATAGCGTCAGATATACAATAGAGATAAGTCCCAACACCACCTGCAAGAGAGAAGACCTCAGCATGCATCAATTTAGCAGTCCGACGTAGCTAACATAAACTGCGCACTGGGGAAAAATAAGAATGATGTCACGACATTCGAGCTACTAAGTTGCGTAGTGGGGGGTTAATACGAAAGATGTTATTACGTTTGAACAACTAAAAGATCAAGTTTCTCGTTTATGGTAACCCGTGTTTAGACCTTCTATCTTCTAGGAAGTATTGCAGGAACGCCTACCTTCAAAATTATGAGTTAAACTATGCCGTACTGATGGATGCATTCAGAGCAGAATAATGCGCAGGAGTAGAATTTTTAGCGGTAGAAGGTTAACGTGATGTGGACATTTATCGCCAAATGTTTCTGTTTTGGGCGAAATCACTGTAAAAGGCAAACGGCTGTGACGAAATGGATTTTAAGTTTTTGTTAAGGGCATATATCAATATCGGATCTCTAATAACTCATGGCAACCAAACGTAACGATAACACCGCTGCTCTTGATGAAATGATTAGAGGCAATTGAATATTTACGACTCGAACTTAAAGGCTGTTTTTTGAAGACTCTTTAGTCTCATGAAAGGAAGCTGTTTTTGGGAATAATATGCTGTTTTCATAACTGAAGTGAGTTTGTAACAGTTACTCATGCCTGTACAGTTAAGTTTAGCCTATCTTTAGTTAGAATCCTCTGTGTTTATTTTGAAAATTGAGCAAAACGTAAATATGGCGAAAAGCTAGAGTTTTGAGAAAATGTAAAAGTGTTTGTGGTCTAATTTTTTTAATATTTAAAAACTTACTACGGTGCTGCCTCATCTGAACTCATAAAAATTTGCAACAAAAAAAAGAACAAAGCATTGATTTTGATAATTTTTATCCAGGTAGAAAAATGTCGCCAAATTGGCGATTTTCCAAAAAAGTTTTAATAACTTTTAAATTATTTAAGTTACTTGACCATTCTAAAGCCCAGATAATTCTCCACGGCAAAATAGCATATATAGTTTAAAATTATAGCTTTGCTTCAAACGTAAGGCGCTTATGCTGTGGTTTTTATTTATTTATTTTTTGCAGAAAAAGATTCGAAAAACCACACTAATGCAGCACTTCGTTTCGCAAGAATTAAAGAATGTTGCAAGTACTTTCTGCCATTAAATATCGTACTATATCATGTTATTCTGGCCTGTTTGCATCCTTCTTACATTTATAATTATAATTCACACCTTCTACTTTTCTTTATAACCCTTAATGGTAAAGCTGCTCTCGTTACTGTATCTCTATCACATTTATTCACAACCCTTATATTATATTGATTATAATACAGAATAAAAACGAACTAACCCTTGTCTTCATTCAATCCAAAACAAGGATCGTCATCAACAGGAACCATTAAGTATCTCACTGTACTTCCAGCATCAAAATCGAGAGCTGAGAGAGTAATAATAGGAGTATCAAGAGGAACACTATCTAAAACCTGACCAACACAATCCACTCGTTCAAAAAGGGGTCTGTGATCATTAATATCTTGCAATTTGACTTGGACTGTCATTTCTGCTTGTCGTCTGTAAGGCGAACCCCAGTCGGATGCTCTGACTCTTAATAAATAATCTCTTCGCATCGTTTCATAGTCCAATACTTCTGTTGTTCTGATCTGTAAAAATAGATATTTTTTATGCATAATTTAAAACTTGTTTAAAAAAAGAATGCAAACGCGCTGCAATAATTTATACAATTTTTTACTTAAAACAATTTTTACGAGCTTCTATTGAAATTTTCTTCAAACGAGAGAGGCAAGAGCTTAAGCCTTTGACACGGAAATTTTATTAAACATATTTTTCATACTTTTTCCATTATTTTGCATTAATTTAGTTCAAAATAAGTGAAAAATATTATATTTAGCAGTTTAATTATTTATGGTTATGAAATACAGCCTGAAACACTGGTGGTGTGTTTTTCTGCGTTAAATGTAAAATCTTGCAAACAATCATTTGTCAAATTTCCAGTTATGTCTAAGAGAAATAGTTATTAATCATTGAAATTTCATTTATTAACAAAATTAATTATTTATAAATGTTTGAATATGAATGGGAAAAAAATTTAAATTACCGTTTTGGAATTTATATTTTAGAACAAATATAATTACGATTATCTAACAGATTTTTTTAGCAATTATTAGACTGTTTTTTTATAATTAAAAATATATATATTTAATTTTGCTTATAATTAGATCTTCAGAAAAAAATATATGCAAGGCACACCGGTGTCCCATCTGCGTCAAAGGTTAAACGTTCTTCTTAAATATATTGATTTATTTCATCAAAACTTTACATTAGCTGATAATATTTTTTAAAGTTTCAATTAGAGCCGGTATATTTTAATAAAGTTAAAATAAATTTTAAGCAAGAGTAAATTAAGTTCACTAATACAAAACAAATGCAGAAATAGTTCTAAAAGGGCCACATTTGTTATTAAAATAACAAGAAACCGGAAAAAAATCCTAAAAGAAAAGGACAAAAATTTTAAAAAATTCGGAAAAAATTTCCTGATTTTTTGAAATTTTCGTCATTTTTTTTCCGGTTTCTTGTTTTTTCTTCTTATTATTTTTCTTTTATTTTTTCCCCTTTCATTGTTCTGTAATTTTTCCATTATTTTCTCTACATTTTGAACTTATTTTATGAGTTCTATTTACTTGCAGCTTATGCGCAAAAAATAAAACTTATTGTTTTTTTTTTTTACTTCGTGTTTTTTGTATTTATTTATTATGCTATATATATATATATAATGTATAACAATATCAGTAAAATAAAATTAAGAAATGAGAGCATTAAAAGTAGTTTCAGAAAAATGAAGAATTGTTATACTCTCATAATTTACGGATCAGAAACGTTAATCTAAACGAAAATCTTAAGCACAATTACTTAAAAAATAAAATATGAAAATTGCTTTAAAATACTATCACCAATAAAAACGAAGTCCGGTTATTTACATTTCCTTCAAATATGAACATTGCCGTTTTTAAAAATTCCATACAGTATTACATACAACTTTTACTTCCTAACCTCTTTGAGTATAAAATGTTATTCTGCAAGGGAAAAACACATTTGTAACTATTTAGTTTCTGTGGATGCGGTTCACAAATGTCAACTCTTTCTTACCATAAAGTACGTCCCGAAATGAAACATATTTGTAGGAAGGGTGGAATCACCCTAAGGGAGTACATTTTGGAAGATTGACTGACGCTTGTATAACATGGTAGTAAAATTTTGGAGAAAAAAAAAATTCGAAAAGCCCCTACGGTAAGCGAACAAAATCAAACGTAACTTAAATATATTTAGAAAACAGAATTTATAACTCTCTGAGAGGAAGTACGAGAATATATAATGCCTCCAGAACCTAAGTGGAAAATTTGTGGACGTAAGTTAGACGAGATAATAAAATAATATGGTAAAAAGAACAGATTATTTAATATAAGGAGTTCTGTAAAAACTGCCTATAATTCTTATCAAATTGAAGAAAAGCATAATACATGTTTGGGGGGGGGTCGCAAATTAATATAAAGTGAGAAGAAAACGAAACATATAGAAGAAAAAGCATAATACACACAAGGGGGGGGCTGCAAATTAATATAAAGTGAGAAGAAAACGAAACATATAGAAGAAAAAGCATAATACACACTAGGGGGGGTCGCAAATTAATATAAAGTGAGAAGAAAACGAAACATATAGAAGAAAAAGCATAATACACACTAGGGGGGTCGCAAATTAATATAAAGTGAGAAGAAAACGAAACATATAGAAGAAAAAGCATAATACACACTAGGGGGGTCGCAAATTAATATAAAGTGAGAAGAAAACGAAACATATAGAAGAAAAAGCATAATACACACTAGGGGGGGTCGCAAATTAATATAAAGTGAGAAGAAAACGANAAAAAGCCTAATACACATTGGGGGGGGGGGTTGCACATTAATATAAAGTGAAAAGAAAACGCGATATATATAGGAATCAGACGGAATCATTTTGGCAACTTTGCCTAGGTTTATCGAGGCTCCTGGGTCATCGGATGGCAGTTGAGCGAGTGGTTTTGCGAATACTCATTTGATTAAGGGGGGAAGCAGAGAAGAGTTGAAAAATGATTAACTTCAACTTTCAATTAGCAATCAAACAAGTTTTGATATTCTGTACAACTATCTTCTTTAAGTTTGATTTATCGGGCAACAATAACGTTTTTCTTTCTTCGCTGAAATAATAATTAGAGATTCCCAATGTGTATACTTTTTGCTTTTTACTTCTGGTAAGGATTCTAAAGGTACTTAGATATTAAGGGCGGCTTTTACAAAACACACTGCATTTGGCTAATAATGAGTTAATAAGATTAACGAATAATTCATAAACATAGCTGATCTGCATTAACAATACACAAAATGGTAGGAAAAATAATAAGGAAGTGCTTGTAAAAATAAAAAGAAATTTTGAAGTTTAAAAATAAAAGAAATTTTAAATTTAAAAGGAGTAAAGAAATTGAAATCTAAACTTGAAATATATTTTCCCGTATTTTTTAATTAATGATAATTTAATATAAATTAGAAAAAAACTTACATGGCTGTAAAATACTTGTCTCAATTCAGTTAAAGAATCATCTTTAACTACTGAATTGTGTTTAATTAATATATTAAAAAATTAGTGATCTTTTCATTATTATTAAATAATAAACCATTTCTATGTAATGTTTAAAGAACGAATACATATTTTTAAAATACTATTACTTTTTAGGAAGGCTTACTAATATCAATTATTAACTTTTGATGCAACTTTTACAAAACTCCTGATTATATGATAATATGATTAAATAAATTGCTATACAATTAGTACACTTATCTACAGAATTCACTAATATATTAATATACTTATCTATAAAATATTATGCTATAATCATATTCACTAACCTCTCCAGTAAAGTGATCGATATTGAATGGAACGGGATGCAAATTAGCTAAGCTGTACGTAACATAACCATTGTCTCCTGCATCAGCATCTGTAGCATGCACTGTACAAACAACACTGTTTTGGGAACGATTCTCATCAAATACGACGACCATCGACGAAGTATTGAACATTGGATCATTGTCATTATTGTCTAATATTCTAATATTTACAATAGCAGTGCCTTTACGAAGGTGAGAACCACTCCTGCGGCCACTGTCCACTGCACTAACAGTCAGGGAATAGTAGGCTCTTCTCTCTCTATCTAGAACTTTGGATGTTCGCAGAACACCTGTTTTCTGGTCAACAGCAAACATGCCTTCATCGTTGCCAATTTCAATGGTGTAAAACAATGGATTCTTGCCTTTCTCAACAGTAGCTACTAGTCTAACTAGTGGAAAACCGATGGGCGAAACTTCTTCAATTTCAACGTCGTAGTCAGATTGGCTGAATTTTGGAACGGGGAAAGTTGCTTCGGATATTTTGAGATGAACCTAAAATTGTTTAAAAATAATTTAGGAATGATTGAATAAAATAAGAAAATTCATTTCAAAAAATAAGTTGCTTTTTACTTTTTTGAAGTTAATTATTATGAGGTTTTATTATTGCGAACTCACGAAAGAAATGGAATTAAAAAAATGGTTAGTGAGTTTCTAATTTTTGTAAAGAAAGGAACTTATTTTCGAATTACAAGCCTGTGGCATTGACATCCCTCACAAATAAATAAGACGCTTTTGAGGTTGACAGATGTAAAAAATGCACTTGAAATTATTTACACCTCAAATATACGTATTTGCTTGAAGTGTAGAAAAAATAGCCTGTAGTACATCTCAAAAATAACCTGTCTAAGTTGGTTGCTTTAAAGTAGATTTCAACTTCAAGTGTTAAGCAACCTCAATAACTTCATACGCATTGATTATACACCTTAGGAGTATATCTTTTAAGGTTGTTTCGGAAGTCAACTTCATATAATCCTCAAATCAACCACGCCACCTCAAAACAACCTCAAAAACACCTTACGTTTTTGTAAGGGACATGTATTGATTGGAGATAAAAATACAAAACTTGAAATTTTTGACATTGAGAACGTTGCTTTCCATGGTAAAGTATATAGCATATGTCAAAATTACTTTAAAAATGCATTTTTTGCACCAAGCATGAGATAAAATCTTGCAGGTGGAGCTAATATGGATATTGCAGATAGTTTGGAAAAGTTTAAAAATGGTTATTATTATTAACAGTATCCAGAGTAGAAAAATAATATATTTTGCATGGGCTACCTGATAACCAAGCAAATGAACTTCATTATATAATATGTAAGAAAAACATGTGTGTGACTAATTCCCTCACTGTCTAGCGGCAGCTAGACATGAGAAAAACATAAAACTAGTATATAGAAGATTTTGTCATATTAATGTAACTGCTTTAAAATATATGAATAAGAATAATGTATTGAAAGGATTAGAAAACTTTTACTGTATTCTTCTAAAATATGTTTATAATTATTCCATTTTTATTTATTAAAACTACTATTAAAAATATGGAATTAAACCAATAAAAAGTCAGTTTTTATTACGTATTTTGAAGGAATTTTAAAATCAACCTTTAAAAAACTTACATTACTTTTGAATATAGCATAATTTTTTAAATACTATTTTCGAAAATTTTAAAATGCATTATGTATTTTTTAAATTAGTTAAGGCTTTTGCAATTCTCAATAATTTTATGAGAAAAAAAATTATTTTTAAGAACAGGTGTAAGCAATTTGGAGGAATAATAATTTAGCAGAAATTTTGAATTATTTTTCTTATATTAGATTAGTGTCTAATTAAAGTAAATATAAATTAGCATAATATTAATATTATTTATTAAAAATGTTTAGTACATATCTAAACTTTATTTTTTAGAATGATAAGTATACTTAAATTTTAACTGATTGGACTATAAGGTAAATAGTTGTGAAAGAGAAATGTACTTACTGTTTTTGTTGTTGATTTAGGAGGAGTTCCTCGGTCTGTTGCCTGCAACACTAAAGAATAACTGCCAGCAGCTAACTCACGACTTGGATCAGCAACTCCAATTTCAAATTCATGAGGTTTCTTTCCGGTTAAAACTTTAAAATAACCATCGGGATCACCTTTAACAATTCCCAAACCATCAATTTCGCCATGAATTCCTTTATCAGGATCAATCACTCGAACAATAGCATATATATCAGGATCGCTATGTTCTAGAATGGCAGGTAACTGTTTTACCTGAATCTCGGGTGCATGAAGATTTACAGGTGTTACTTTAATTTGCACTGTAGCGGTACTCAAAAACGACATTGTGCCAGCAACTCGAAATTTAGGACCTCGGTCTTCAGCTACTACCGTAAATTTATGCAAAGATTCAACCTGATAGTCAAGAGGGCGAGTTAATGTCAAAAATCCTCCAGTAGGGTGGATAGCAAATTGAAGAGATGGTTCCTTTAAGCTGTAGTATATATCACCATTGACTCCAACATCTGGATCTGTGGCTGTTACTCTAAGAAGATTTTTGTGTAGCGGATAGTCCTCGGGGACGGTCGTGTGATATTCGGACTTGTCAAAGAATGGATTGAGATCATTCGTATCCAAGATGTGAACATGAACTGTTGTATGGGCCTTTAACTTTACAGATCTTCTATATAACGAAGTTACCATAGCTCTAACACCAATGGCATAGTAATCTTGATATTCTCTATTTAATATAGCCTGTTCTTCTGTTCTTGTCCTCAAAGATAAAAAACAGAAATCTCCAACAGTTCTTGACTCCGCTTTAAACATCTTGGCCGGATCTCCAGAGACTATTTTATATCTAACAAGAAGCGATGGGTCAGATATAAAGATACCCATCTTCTCTGTAGGGATAACATAGGTTTTGCCTACTGCATTTTCAAGTACCGTTGCATTGTATTCTGTTTTGGTAAAATCCAGCGTCTGCTCACTTTTCACAACCTTTATTCGAGTGTACAAGACAGATATAAGAAGCACCAAACATGTGATGGGAAGGGTCAATGAGGAGGATGTTGCAGAGGGGTTTCGCCGAAGCAACCCCATTTATACAGTGAACAGCTGGTCAGCTTTGCATCAGAGCCTGCGAAAGAAAAACAAATTATAAAAATGAAGCAACATATTCTGCATTTTTACGATTGTATCAGTTTTATTTTATCAATCTCTGTTGGACCATACAAAAAAAGGCAAGAGATATTAACAAAATGAGTATGATATGAACAAAATATAGAATAAGAACAAAATTTATATAATTTTGCTACAACACCAGTCTTTTATACATGAAAACAAAATATTCTTAATCTTCAAACACGTGCAAGGGATCATTATCATTAAGCAAACCATTCACCATTTTTAGAAACTTTTAGAAAACCACAGTAGGTTCATTGAAGGTCCCCTTTATGTCAATCATATATAATCCTGCAATTTTTCTCCCTTGATTCCCTTAGAAAAACATGAATGAGGTGATTAAATTTTACATGTAAGCATTAACTTCAATTTGTATAGTTTTATTCAGTGTGCATATAAACATTGGTTATTCAGTAAGAGTGTCACTATAATTTTATAAATTTAGTTAAAATTTCAAATTTCAAGTATATGGTATTTAATAATAATATTTTTTGCAAGTTATTTTTAGAATCCAAAAAGTGCTTAACAACTCAAAAAGCAATTCTTATCAATCGTATTTTATAGAAAAACGTATACTCCGGTAGTCTTGGTTCGCGTTCAAGGGTAACAATATAGAGCGCGTTGAATCGCGAGTTCATATAGGTTACTAATTAACTAAATATTGATCTAACTGACTGACTTACCTTAACACTTTCAACCTCTTTAAAGATTGCAAACTTCAAATTTTATCTCATTAAAAATTTAAAAGAATTTTTACCACTACTTTGTACGATATAAATAAAGGAAACACAAAATTTTTTTTAATGTGCAGTCTATGAGTAGAATGATTAGTTTTAGAAGCACTGATTTAAATTTAGTTATCTAGACTTAAAGTAAACATAGTTCAACACATAAATATTAATCCATATATAAAATTCAAACAAAAAGAGAATACATTTATTATGGAAAGTTAATAAAATATAATTCATAACAGAAACTGTTAAAAAACAGAATATTAATTACGTTGAATTAAAGTTTGCACGGGTCTAAATAAACGTAGAATTTTACGACATAAAAGATTCAATGATATCATTTATGATACCAAAAAGTAGGTACTAAAATAAAAGTAACTCTTTTTAATCTCTCTCCATCATATTAACCACTACTTCACCGACTGTAATATTAAACAGCGCAAGAAATGGCTCATACTTTTATGTCCTACCATACGTCATTTTCAAACCTGCCACTAACACAGCGCTTCATTGATGCTTTTAGAAAGGAGAAAGACATATCTTAAGTATAACAGAATAACAAATACCCGCTTTGCGCCATTTTTTCCCTCTAACGAAATAACTAACAGACTTTATGATGCATAGGCGTGTCAACGGCAAGAAATAAAAAGCAAAATATAAAATTGCACGCATGTGTATGGATGTGTGGTTGGGTATAGATATATAATCCTTGGATATACTCGGTCAGTCATATTCTCTCTCCTAGAAAGCCCAAGACGAATGTTCCACAAGCATTTTCCGATATATCGGAATATTTTACTATGTACTATCCTTCCAGAAAAGGAGAAAACAACCTTTAGGGTCGCCTCTAGAACGGGATAATCAGAAGTCGGCAAGAGCGAGCTAAAAGCTGGAGTGAAAAGATGTTGATAAAAGCCTTTCGAATCGAAAAATATATATTTTGTTATTCTTTAGATATCGCTGACACCATCGGTTACCATTATTTGGAAGAGTTTTATCAGAATTCTTCTCCTTTACTCTTTATCAGGTTCATTTCATTTTTTTCATAAAGATTCCGGTTTTTACTTAGGGAGTTCCATCACGTAGGGAAGATTTGGGGGGTAACACGGAAAGTTAGAAGCCTTGTTGTGTACAAATTAGGGAGTTAGTTGTAATGTGAGAGCAAGGCAAGAAACGTGTTATTTCTTATTAAGCTTTATTTCTGTTAAAGCGGTAGCTTTATTTCTGCATGAATAGAAATGGTAAACAATGATTAACTAAATTTCTTTGAATTATTATTTCAAAGAAAAGATAATACTCCCCAAGACCTCTTTTAAGTTGATATGAGCAATTATACAAATAAACATCAAAAAAATATTTTTTGGTGGTGGGGGCACGCAATTTCTACATAAATTTTCTTCTCTTTTGCACCCTAAAAAAGCAAGAAAAAATCGTGAACATGAAATTTTTTCTTTGTGACATACTTTGAATGACAAAATGCCAATTTTAAATTTTTCCCGATATTTTCAAATTACGAACTTTGATTAAATTTTTTTATTTGTTTTTTATACTAAAATATAATCTTATAGTATGAAATCTCTATAAATACATTTTAGAGAGACATTATAATAATATTATATTTATGTAAAAATCGTTTTATCTGAATAAATGGCACAGTTAAAATTGGTGTTTTGTCTTTTAAAGTATGTCACAAAGAAAATATTTCATGTTCACGATTTTTTCTTGCTTTTTTAGTGTGTAAAAAAAAAGAAAATTCATGTAGAAATAGCACGCCCCCCCATTTTTTTGGCCGCCTAATTGGTGTTTATTTGTAGAATTGCTCATATACAGTTTTTGACTTATTTTTTAGGATTATTTACTGATACAGCAGGGCTAATGTTACCATTTTTTTGCATTTCACGCTTTATAAAAATATCTGACGAATTCTTACATAAAAGTTCAACTTGAACTATAGATTTAATATGGGCAAGCAACCAATGTAATAAATTAGATTTACTTACAATTGTAACAAAGATTAAAAATTTAAAAAATTTAATATTTAAATATTTATTTACTTTATTGGATGTTAGACTGTTACAGGTAAGAAATCGATATTCCTTTATTTAAATTGCGGCAGTACACTGTAAAAAAAATCCAGATCAAATTACGGTATAAACTACCGGCAATCTGGGTGCCTCATCCGTAAAATCCATTTTACCCATAAAAATATTATACTGCAATTTTTACAGAAATATTTACTTAATTAAAGTGAATCTGTGATTTTAAGATAATTATTACTGTAAAAATTACGGTACATCAGATTTTTTATTCCGTAACATGTTCTGGTAAAAGAGAATTTTACGGTAAAAAGTATTGGCACCCCGTGTGCCGGTATTTTAATTTAGTGCAGGTTCCATAATTTAATCCGGAATTTTTCGTAGTGTGTTTAAACGTAAATGGAGTTTATTATACGAATAATCTTTATAGGCAAAACAATAGCAGATATTATTATTTTCTTATAAATTTCTGCGAATGAATCTATAATTACCTACACAATTTTTTAGCTAAGTTTTCTTGCTGTAGAATAAAATTAAATTAAAGACGAAGTAAAATACCGGACACCACCGAGGTCTATTTCACCTAAGGAAATACTGTTGTTAGTAGAATAAGTTGACCTTTATTTTTTGAGAAAACATTATAACAATGCCTTGACATTATCATTAGCCTTGAGTTAAAAAAAACTCAAGGCTTAACTAAAAGTATAAATTTTAATGCGTTAAAAACACTGATTATAACTCTTAAGACGAACGTCTAATTGCAAAGTCATTTCTAGTAACAAAATAAAAATTAGCAACAGTTATTTTATATATATTTTCATTGTTATGGAAAATAATAGACTTGAAACCAATTTTAAACACAATAGCTCAAGAAAAATTAAAAATGCAAGTTTCTGTTATCAAAATAAAATTGCATATTCAAATACATCCTATTATTCAAAGACTCGCATGAAAGTAATACAGTATATAATTCATTAAACTAATTTAAACTGTGTTAGAAACAATAGTGCAACTGTAATTTTGGTATTTTGAATAGTTAAGAGAAGTAATTTTTATTGGTTTGGCATTCGAATTCGAATTTGAAATTTCGCTGTTTCAGAACTAGACAGTTTAAGAGTTCAAAATAACACATAATAATTTTGGGGCAATTTTTATCATTAATTTCACTCTTCTAGAATTTGCAACAAGTAATTATGCTTAATATGCATCATAAATAATTTAGAAATGAAAAAATGCTTCTATTTATATCAATTTTTTTTTCATTTTATGCGAAAAGAAAACTTCTTTTGTCTCCTTTTGTATTGAATTCCTATGGTACAAAGAGCGCACACAATTTTGAGAGACTTTTATCATGCTGAAGCCAATTTTTCTGAATTTTGGGTGTTTTGAAGTGATTTGGCAGACAATTAAATTAAATTGAACTAACTTCTGTGCGATTTGTAAATGCTCGTTTTGCAACGAAATATAGCATCTCAGATAGATAAATGAAGAAGTCGTTAGCAATTTACCCGTAATCACTTTTCAACTCATTTTACTTTTAAAATTCAAAACATATAATCTGATATTACTTCGATAGATTATGTATTTATTTTATATAATTAGGATAAGGATGGAATTATAGAGATGCATTTATTGAGAAAAGCATAACACCGAGAAAATAAACTAAATCTAATATTAAAGTAAACAATAAATGAATATTAAATAACAATAAAATAAATGATAAATATCAGTAAGCCTTGATTAAAAAATCTTCATTGACATATGCAGACGGAAATAAAAGTCGGCACGTTTCAAGCACTCGGAAATAGGAGCCCATTCTCAAGACTTGTCAGACGTGAATGAGAAGAAACTAAAGTGATTTGAAAAAAATATAGAACATAAAGTTGCCAGTGAAAATGGAAAATATTAATAAATGGGTATTTCTAATTACTTTTGTTTCGTTTCATTCAAGACTGGCTTAAGAATGGGAGTCTTAAGAATGGGCGTCTATTTTTGAGCGCTTGAAACATACTGACTTTTTGAAGTCAATTAAGTTTTTTAATAAAGTAATATCGTATCGCTTCTGTTTCTGGGGATTATTTATATAATACTCATACAAAATATACATTATATACAATTATAATATACAATTTTACAAAATATTAAATAAACCCTCATTTAAAAATATACCCTAGCTTTAATAATTATAA